ATTTATTTTGTTACTCATCGGTTTAGATGTAATTAAAGCTTGAAATGATGAATAATTAGAGGTGTGTCCTTATGATCGACAGGTAGCAGAAGAGCCGTCAGCTCCAGGAAAGGTCTCAGCCTCTGCCTCATGTTAAAAGCGTTACAGCCTAGAAGGCAAGGGGTAGCAGAGTCCCTCAACCCTGGCTTTCTGGCAAAAAGTACCGTAAACCTCCGTTAGCTTTGATTAGCTCAGTTAGCTCGTACAGACATCGGCTCAGAGTACGTTAGGTGTCAGTCTTCTGCCCCCACCCACACAACCCTGCTCTCAGATCCATTTTTCCTTTGCTTTTTCACATCAAGTTGGAAAAATATGCAACCTTAACATTTTTGATTGCACAGTTAAAGGAGGTCAGAAGATCCTTTAGGTGCAGCAGATGGAAAAGAAAACCAGAACGAACTAAAGGTGGGGACGCAGAAACTGACAAATTTATAATGATGTGAACCGAAAGCATCCTCAGAACAAAGCCTGTGTTTATGGTTCAGACTCAGATTGACCTACACGGGTTTTACATGTGAGCTTGTGGTGCCTCAGAAAGTGTTGGTCCTAAAATACACGAAACATGGTTCAGTTTAGACTTTGGTCGACAAACAACTTCAATTTAGCCAATAAAGTTGTTTGTCCAGTCATTATTTCCTGTTAGCGCTTGGCTAAGGTGCACTGCTCAGACACGTGGTGACCTCTTGACCTTTTGCAGGTCTTTCAGGAAAAGGTTGAATGGAGATTATCCTAAAAGCAGGACTGGTGGGATTTTTTTTAGTCGTGTTTAGATTTTTCGGTCATTACCCAAAGCTCATGACCATAGGTGAGGATTGGGACGTAGATCGACCGGTAAATCGAGAGCCTGGCTTTCTGGCTCAGCTCCCTCTTCCCCACGACAGATCGGCTCAGCGTCCGCATCACTGCAGACGCCGAACCAATCCGCCTGTCGATCTCCCGATCCCTCCTACCCTCACTCGTGAACAAGTCCCCGAGATACTTAAACTCCTCCACTTGAGGTAGGACCTCTCCCCCGACCCGGAGGTGGCAAGCCACCCTTTTCCGGTCGAGAACCATGGTCTCAGATTTGGAGGTGCTGATCCTCATCCCAGCCGCTTCACATTCGGCCGCGAACCTACCCAGCAAGAGCTGAAGGTCAGAGCTGGATGAAGCTAGGAGGACCACATCATCCGCAAAAAGCAGAGACGAGATTCTCCTGCCACCAAACTCGACACACTCCACACCACGGCTGCGTCTAGAAATTCTGTCCATAAAAGTGATGAACAGAACCGGTGACAAAGGGCAGCCCTGGCGGAGTCCAACCCTCACTGGGAACAGGTCCGACTTACTACCGGCTATGCGGACCAAACTCACGCTCCTCTGGTAAAGGGACTGAATGGCCCTTAACAGAAAGCCACCCACCCCATACTCCTGGAGCGTCCCCCACAGGGTGCCCCTGGGGACACGGTCATAAGCCTTCTCCAAATCCACAAAGCACATGTGGATTGGTTGGGCAAACTCCCATGCCCCCTCCATCACCCTTGCAAGGGTATAGAGCTGGTCCACAGTTCCACGGCCAGGACGAAAACCACATTGCTCCTCCTCTATCTGAGATTCAACTATCGATCGGACCCTCCTCTCCAGTACCTTGGAGTAGACCTTTCCAGGGAGGCTGAGGAGTGTGATCCCCCTATAGTTGGAACACACCCTCAGGTCACCCTTCTTAAAGATGGGGACCACCACCCCGGTCTGCCACTCCCTAGGAACTGCCCCCGATGACCACGCAATGTTGTAGAGACGTGTCAACCATGACAGCCCTACAACATCCATAGCCTTGAGATACCCAGGACGAACCTCATCCGCCCCCGGGGCTCCGCCGCTGTGTAGTTGTTTGACTACCTCAGCAACTTCTGCCCCCGAGATCGGACAGTCCATCCCCAGGCCTCCCAGCTCTGGTTCCTCCTCGGAATGCGCATTGGTGGGATTGAGGAGCTCCTCAAAGTATTCCTTCCACCGTCCGACTATAGCCCCAGTTGACGTCAGCAGCTCCCCATCCCCACTGTAAACAGTGTGAGCGAGTTGCTGCCTTTCTCTCCTGAGGCGCCGGACAGTTTGCCAGAACCTCTTTGGAGCCGATCGATAGTCTTTCTCCATGGCCTCACCAAACTCCTCCCACGCCCGAGATTTTGCCTCGGCAACTGCCACTGCTGCACCCCGCTTGGCTATCCGGTACCTGTCTGCTGCCTCCGGAGACTCACAGACCAGCCACGCCCTGTAGGCCTCCTTCTTCAGCCTGACGGCTCCCCGAACCTCTGGTGTCCACCAGCGGGTACGGGGGTTGCCACCACGACTGGCACCGGCCACCTTACGACCACAGCTAGCAACAGCCGCCTCGACAATCGCAGAGTGGAACAAGGCCCACTCGGACTCAATGTCCCCCACTGCTCTCGGGACGTGGTCAAAGCTCTGCCGGAGGTGGGAGTTGAAGACCGTCTTGACAGGTTCTTCTGCCAGGCGTTCCCAGCAGACCCTCACTATGCGTTTGGGTCTGCCAGGTCTACGCGGCATGTTCCCTTGCCATCTGATCCAACTCACCACCAGGTGGTGATCAGTTGACAGCTCCGCCCCTCTCTTCACTCGGGTGTCCAAAACATACGGCCGCAGGTCAGATGATACGACTACAAAATCTATCATCGACCTGTGACCTAGGCTCTCCTGGTACCAAGTGTACCGGTGGGCATCCTTATGTTCGAACATGGTGTTCGTTATGGCCAAACTGCGGCTTGCACAGAAGTCCAATAACAAAACACCGCTCGAGTTCAGATTAGGTGGGCCGTTCCTCCCAATCACACCCCTCCAGGTCAAGCTGTCATTGCCCACGTGAGCATTGAAGTCCCCCAGCAGGACAATGGAGTCCCCTGATGGAGCACTATCTAGCACTCGTCCCAGGGACTCCAAAAAGGGTGGGTACTCTGAACTGATATTTGGCCCATAAGCACAAACAACAGTCAGGACCCGTTCCCCGACCCGAAGGCGCAAGGAAGCTACCCTCTTGTCCCCCGGGGTAAACCCCAACACACAGGCAGAGAGTCTCGGGGCTAACAAAAAGCCAACCCCAGCCCTCCGCCTCTCACCCGGAGCAACTCCAGCAAAGTAGAGTGTCCAACCCCTCTCCAGGTCTCGGGTTCCAGAGCCAATGCAATGTGTCGAGGTGAGTCCGACTATATCTAGCCGGTACCGCTCAACCTCTGCCACAAGCTCCGGCTCCTTCCCCGCCAGCGAGGTGACGTTCCATGTCCCAAAAACTAGTTTTCTTGTCCGGGGATTGGACCGCCAAGGCTCCCGCCTTGGTCTGCCACCCGATTCGCATTGCACCGGACCCTTCATGCTCCTCCTGCGGGTGGTGGGTCCACAGTTGGACGAGCCCATGTATCCGGTTCGGGCTGGGCCCGGCCGGGCCCCATGGGCGAAAGCCCGGCCACCAGGCGCTCGCTCACGGGCCCCAACCCCAGGCCTGGCTCCAGGGTGGGACCCCGGTAACCCTCCGGGCCGGGTACTCCGACTCTTCGTTTTAACCGCCATGAAAGATCCTTCGAACCGTTCTTTGTCTCACCCTTCACCTAAGACCAATTTGTCATGGGAGACCCTACCAGGGGCACCAAGTGCCCCAGACAACATAGCTCCTAGGATCATTAGGGCACTCAAACTCCTCCACCACGATAAGGTGACGGTTCAAGGAGGAGGAGACGAGAGTGTTTAGATTTTTGTTGATGACAACTAAAGAACCAGAGAACTGGATCCACGTAAAAGACATCTGAAGAACTGTGAGACACCAGGACTCCTTGGTCCAGGTGCAGCAAAGCAGATCCAGAGCAGGATCGAGCCTCCTTCATGTTCCACAGTAGGTCAATTTTTAAGAAATGATGTGACTTAACCCTTTGATGCATAATGGTCACTACAGTGGACAGGTACTCAAAATTGTTATTTGTTTTTGCTATTAAGCACAGCTCCCCTCCATTTGGACTTCAGTAAGCCAAGCCATCATATTTCATGCTCAGAATGCACGCTGTCCAGTGTCCACCAAGGTGGACATGTAATAAATTATTTGTAAATTATAAAATTTAACAAAAAATATTTGAAATTTGTTTCATTCACACCGAAAGATGAATGAAGAAAAATGGTAAGAATAGCATGGTTGAAGATCTCATAATTCATGCATCCAAGGGTTAATGAAAAAGCTTGAACATTCTCTCTGGAGCTTTGTGGCTTGTCAGCAAGCATTTAGAAGAATTCCCGTCTGGTTTTTAGGGTTTAAGCCAAGGCCTCCTTGGTCACCAACAGAGATGGATGGTGTGATCTGAGCACTCAATAGACCTTAAAGCAGCAATCCAGAGCTTTTCTCTTTTTAAGAATTAAGTATTTTTTTTGTGAAATGAGTAAGAGTGACAGTCTTCCCCTGTACTGTGATCTAATGTAGGAAATGCATAGATTTTTTGGTGATATCTGCTTTATACTTCTGAATAATACATCCACCTGTCTTTACAGGAAGTCACCTGTTGGCTGTTCCCTTTATCATGCTGATCAATACCCATCTTCCTAATCTCCCGAGACACCCATGTCCTTGGCCATCTGTGGTCCGTGCTCAGTGTGGGACGCCGAACAGCACGTTGACTAACAGTCAGCCTTTTAACAGGCAGAGTAACCGACCACCATTCTGGAGACACCTGTGATGCTGGGGAAAGGACATACCCGAGTTAACACGTCCCTGTGGACACATTAGTTTCCAGGGGTCCGTTATTTGGTCCAGACCAGTTTCATCAGTAGTTTTTTTCTAATTCTAAAACTTCGTATCTGTGATGACTTTAGCTGGTTCCAGTAGAGGCTCACTGAGACCTTCACTCCCTTCAACAGGATCTAAACGAGTCTCTGGTGACACCTTTGTACCACCTGTTAGCTCATTTAAACCAACAAAATTCAACAGATGAATGTTAAACATTTATTTATTGATCATATGGATTTTACAGCATACCATAATATCATACATGACTGAGATACACAGTACAACATACCAAATACAGAATAAAAAAGTAGGATCACTGGGCATCAAGAAATCAGCATGGATGCCTGAAGTCAAACCTAGTTTTTGTGTTTCTTGTGGATGCATTTTCAAGTCACCATGACAACAATTACAGTACAACGATCCATAGATTAGAACCGAGAAAAATTCATTTATTCAAACGTTATTAAAATTTTCTTATTTTAGGCCAGAAATGTTTTTTCATGACCTGATTTTTTTTTAATCGTTAAGAATGAAATTCTCAGTCCTATGATCACTGATCACACACGAGCTGTGGTCGTTAGCGTGGTTCAGGAGCTAACCCGCTAACAGGTCAACACGGACAGCACAACCTTGTGTTTTCTCTAATCTATGGTCACACTGGCACTTGGATGGCTAATCACACGATCACTTAGAGGACACAAATAAGGCACCGGCACATAAACGCACACATGGACTGTTCAGAACTTATATCGTCTATATTTACTCATTTATCAGCTATTAAAACGGACTCTTTGCTTTTAGGGTCTTTGTGATATTTAAGATGGGTCTGAGAAACCAGTCTGCCTCAAGAGGACAGTTCTTGTGACAGGATTTACGTGGAAACATGTTGCGTGTCATCGACAGATCTTGGAAAAGCCTCGGTTTAGATGAACAGAGATTTGTTCCGACTGGATTGGTAAGCTAACTGCTAGTTTAACCATAAACACGATCACGCTGACAGATGAAATGCTGACCAGTTGCAGAGCTTCTGGATATAACTGTAGAACTCTACGGGAATACGTGTGAATGACAGAACCGAGGAAAGCAAAAATATTTCTCTCCTTGTGTGTTGAACCCACCTAGCTCTATGCTTCCCAACAGATCAGGCTACGTTATCGTGCAAACCGGTTCCTCCAGCAGAAATATGAATAATAATTTCCTCTGGATGAACAGGAAGTGCTACATGTAGCTGCTGGTTAGCTTCACACAGACCTCCATTTTAATAAAGTGGGTTTGTCGATGAAACCAGCCATTTCACCATTTCTCCAAACAAAGGCCATTCAGGAAGTCAATTACAACAGTGTTTACACAGAAGTATCAAAATGGCTGAACTATCCCTTTAGGACACAACCGTTCAGCCCAACGAGTCAGAGCTAATAATGATCATGTTACTAACCACCATACTGGAGTCACCAGGTAATTACACACAGACCTCAGGAACCCTGTTTATTATTATTATTCTTTAATTGGACAGCCTGGAGAGCCACTGGTTTGTTTAAATCTGTCGGGTTCGCTGCATTTTCTCACAAACATCTACACATAACCATGAAGCGGGGCAGTCGCTGTGACTGTTAAACACAAATTACCCTTTCATCGCTTTCTTTTGGCTTTTAGCTTCCGAACAAACTAAATTTCATATTTTGGTGCTTTTCAGACAATATTTTAGCCAATATCGAAAAATTACAAGACAAATGTGGATTTCTGGCTAATGTTTTGGGGACAGATGACTACAGCAGGGATAATCATCATCAGGGTCACAAACTCATTTATGAAGCACACCTCGGATGCTTTGGATCAATGACAGAAAGTTAAAAAAATAAAACATTGGTGGTCCACAAGAAGAAGACGGAGATCCAGCTGAGGAGAGATTATTAATAGTAATAAATAAAAAGAATCAGTCCAACACGGTGCTGGATTAAGAAGCTCTAGTGTTAAATAGTGTAGTGACACGGATGTTGCTTAATGGTACCAAGTCAACCGTGGGTCTCAGCATCAGGTTAGCTCACCTGAGTCACAGGTGGGGACCAGTATGAGTCATGGTTCTGGTCTGTGGAGGGGCTTCTGTGGAAACGGCCTCAGCGTGGAGAACTAGAGATGAGTTACACAGACACGCTAACACTTTCACACATAACAACTCCGCTCTTACACGTTTCCTTATAGCTCCTGATGATCACACGTCACATTTCACGGTGATCCCTAAGTGCTACAATAGCTAGCCCCTCAGCTCACTTCTGCCTCAAACAAATGAATCATTCTAATGAAACCACTCTAACGTGACGCTTTGTGTAAATGTTCTAAATTAACTTTGTAACTTATTAGCGTTGGCCCCACTCAGACTGGTCGTTAGCTCATCGATCCGATCATAACAGCCAGCGGAGTAAGTATCTACGAGTTAGTCGACTGCATTTGCTGTCTAGTCTAGTACTCGTAACCATTCCACACAAAGCCACTCCAAACAACACGACCTGAACTTTAAACACGGCGGTAAAACGAAACACCCAGCTCTGGCGTCGGAGAGTCAGAACCATGGTACAACTTGGACCAGCTCCACTAGTGGCTGAATGTGAAGGCATCAAAACAAAAAAACATTGTGAGCTCAGCGAGGGATGGAACACAACCACTGAGGGTGGGGGGGGTTCCAGGTGGCAGCTGGTGGAGATAAAAACCAGTAAACAAAGACAAACACCGTCAGGTGTGAGGGAGCAGGGAGTCGGCTTTAAATGACCTATAGAAGAAGGTTTATGTGGTTTTAACAACCTCAGTTTGGAGAAAGACTGGATCAATATGCTAATGGTTAGTCACAAAGAAGCTAGTAGACAGATGTTCACCTGAAGGCTAACTTAAACTAACTAGAGGTCAGCACTAGAAACATGTTTTCTCACTTAAGGATTCTTCAGAAATGACCAAATATGGTGGGTAAAAGGTTAGCCAACAGCTAGCATAAACAGCTAGGATATGTCTGAGATGAGTGATCCACTATGTAACTGGATCCAGTTAAACTAGCAGTTAGCTCACTTTAATCCTTGTTTCTCCAAACTTAGGCTGTTCAAAGTTTGACCGAGGGAAGGTTAGGTTTTTGTTTCCCATAGAGACCTACTTCAAAGGATCCCACACAGGTCTACGATCAATGCTTTAGGAATCTGAAGAATCTGGTCTTCTACGCTCATGGAGACGAAGCTGGACCGGAAGACTGAAAACTGAGAGAACAGCAGAACTGGACCAGGACCACTGACACCATGAAGGTTTTCTGCTGATCCAATCTTCCGTCCAGATGGAATGGTTGAGTCAAAGGGATGGAATGGTCTAAGAGAGACACGACGTCTGTTTGACTCCAGTCAGACCAGCACTGCTTTGGGATCAGCACGCAGAACGACTGGACTCAGATTGTCCTCACAAGTTCAGTATCGACTCCTCCCTGAGTCTGTCACTAACCTCAAACTCCTCAGATTCATGCGGGGGGCACAGATAAAACAACTGGGAGGGGGTTGTACCATCGTGTGTCTACAGGACACGGGGCCAGAGATCTTCAGACGGACAGGAAGGTGTGATTATAGCTTTAACAACTAGAGGTAAAGTCAATAAGCGCTGCTTGTTGTGTGCTCTATGATGTTCCGATGGATCGTTGCCCTCAGGCCTGGAGTCACATGGAGACAGGAAGTAGCCCTCAAGGTGCAACGCCACAACACAAAAGGGAACTAAACAATGAGCCACTGGTCCGGGATGGGTCAGAATTGGTCCTAACTGGTGGGAACCACAGGTGGGGTTTGGGTTTAAATGCTGCAGAAGAGGGAGGTGTCTCAGGGCGCGGGGGGGGGGGTTAGGTAAAGACAAGGTGATGCTGGTCAAGCAGGGCTCTGGTGAAGTTGTTGATTGGCCCTATAGCGCTGAGTGACATGGCATTGTCCCGCCCCCACAGCAGGTTGGGCCCAAACACTACAGCCAGGTTACTGTTGGTCATCTTGTTGACGTCGCTGTTGGCCGACACCTGTCAATACAAACATGGCTGGTGACTGAGCTGACCCTCACGGGTGAGCAGAGGGAAGTGACGTGCCATACCTGAGCCAGGAACGTAATCAGGTATCGCAGAGACGCGTAGTTCTCCTGTGGAAGAGACTCAACCAGCTCCTTCATCACCGCTGCCTGGTCCTCCTGTGAGACAGCTGAGGGACAGTAACAGAGCGGAGTTAGCCCCGACACCTACACCTCACTTCCTGTTCATGTTCATCTGAAAGGCCACACCCACTCCTGGGTGCATTTAAATGTAATGACAGACTCATTAAACTCACATGCAAAGTTAATGATGTCGTTGTAGAGCTGGTACGTGAGGAGAGGTTCTGGGAGTTCCCTCAGGAACGTCTTCAGGATCACAGCAGCCAGGTGGACATCTTCCATCTCTCTGAAACTCACCACCGCTCCTACAAAACAGACCCACCTATCCGTGTTAATCCAGAATATTCCCTATGGAATAGGATCTAACCTGAAGACCTCAACAGTTCCTCGGGGGTGTAATCTAGAACCGAGGTCCCTGCCTTCTCAGAGCTTTATTAAACACCAAGTCCTTCACCTACTGGATCAGGTAGGAGGTTGACCACATCAGGGTTGGTGCCGTTAATCTAACTGCTGAGATGTCTCCCAGCCTCCCTAGTGTCTACAGGAGTGATTCATCACTAAATGGAACAAATCAGCTGTGATCAAAGCTCCTTCTTCTTGTCATTCACGTTCCTGCCAATATGGCGCCGTCACCTGGTCACGTGACGTCAGGAGCTCTATAGGCATGTTTCCATTACCAGATCTCCAGGGTAGCTCCTGGGGTGGGGAACTTGACCCGGAGATAGGATGTCCCAGCCTCTCAGCTGTTGTAACCATTCAGATGCAGCCCTTTCAGAACTGACTGCTTTGGCAGTGAGTGATGTCACTGATCAGCCCCAAAAAGCACTCAAAGTAACATTAATAATATTAAAAGCATTTATTTTATAGAAGTATATCATAATTTAATCCATTCAGAGGACAAGAGCAGCTCTGAGTTTTGTGAGACAATCCCTGTTAATTAGGTCTGTGGGGGAATTCCAACGAGTTTTCCGGTGTTGGGAGTTAGATTTTAAATGCGATCAGTGCTTTTTTATTTGCTTCCATTCTGCTACTCACAGAATGAGTAGGAACTCAGAAGGTTCCTGAAAACGGCCGTTCGGACGGCCCGGTCAGGTGGAGACACGCACATGTTGGGAGGTTCCTGTAAATCTACCCTGAAGTTCTTGTAGTGGAAACACGTCTAATGTCTCTCACCTGGTTTGTGTTCCATTTGCAGGTTTCTCTGAAAAGAAACCAACTAGCAGGAGGAAAACCCTACAGAGGCACTAAGTTCTGAGTGGATTCAGACCCAAAAACCTAGACTACAGGAGAGGCAACGCCTGCACAGTCTCCAGTAATATTCCAACCTGGATATCGGATCAAATAAACGTCGTCGTCTTCCTCCGCTTATCCGGGTCCAGGTCGCAGGGGCAGCATCCCAACTAGGGAGCCCGGCCACCCTACGGAGGAAACTCATTTCGGCCGCTTGTATCCGCGATCTCGTTCTTTCGGTCATTACCCAAAGCTCATGACCATAGGTGAGGATTGGGACGTAGATGGACCAGAAGAGGATCTACGGTCGATCAAATAAACGTGTCTGATAATCTTATTATTAAACAAAGTTATTTTCACTTCAGACATGAAGGTGTTTCTAGTTACCTTTTACATGTTTCGACCATCGTCTGGTTGGTCGCGCCCCCTAGAAGAACAGCTGACAGACGCGTCACACAAACATCTGTGACATTTCTGATGAAGACCGCAGACGACGGTCGAAACATGTAAAGGTAACTCAAAACACCTTCATGTCCGAAGTGAAAAGAACCTCATTTAAAATTAAAAAAGAGGACATAATGAACATTGTAAAGGGTGTCTGAAAATTAGAGCTGTCACATAATGCTGATGTGGATCACACCACTTGGCCCTCAGCTTCCTATCAGACCATGAGGACAATCTGTCCATTTTAATAAGGTCGGAACGGTTTGTTTACTCACATTCAGGTTAGTCGTAAACACCTGATGATATTCACGTTTCCATTAAGGATGGACTGGCAGACCACCTGCCTGACACATTTCATCACTGATCCAATAGGGAAAGGCCAGCTCACTAATACCCTTTTTTAAAGTGTAGCGAACCATCCTCCCCTAGGGACCACAGATCCGTACGAATGACAACTGGTGATGGACCGAACCCAACAGATGCAGAATGTTATAAATGAAAACAGTTAAGAGATTGGAGCTTTTTTAAGATAGAAGAATGGTTCAGACTAGCCATTAGCTTGTCAATCCTGAGCTCTCTCCATAGGTTGTTCATAATCTCATCACTAATAAAACAAACTGTTTATAATCTTCCCAAAGGAATGCCCTTCGTGTCTCTATGGGGACTTTTTTGGTTGAAGATCCCGGACAAGCCCCCAAACAGGATTAATTGATTTGTCATACCCGAGTTGTACCTAAGCTGGACCTCCTTCACTAGAGTCACATTGGCCGAGCGTCTGAAGATTCCTTCGATCTCCAAACCTGACAAACACACACACACACACACACACACACACGTCAGACAATACCACAATAGTGAACAAACAGACCTGTGCTGGCCAGCTGGATTTTATTTATTTATTCTGTTACAGGTGTATGTGTGTGTGTGTGTGTGTGTGTGTGTGTGATCATGAATGAGCTCATCAGTGTGTTTTGTTTGTCTTACCATGTTCTGAAAGGAAGCTAATAGTGTCTCTCATCACTACTGGAATCAGATTTCCATCTGGATCCCTCTCTCTCAGCCTTAAACACACACACACACACACACACACACACACACACACACACACACACACACACACACACACACACACACACACACACACACACACACACACACACACACACACACACACACACACACAGTGAGACCAGGACGTTCCACCAGCAAGGGTCTGTGACAACTGAAGCAGACTTACAGAGTGAGAGGAACCCCGAACACCTGGTTAGGGAGGGGGGGGCTACGGGGAGGAGACGAGTCAGGCTGGGTGGTTGGTTTCAGAGACGCTCTCAGCTTGTTGTCGTACCTGTTGGACACACAGCGTCAGAAGGCAGCAGCAGCATCAAAGCCTGAATTGTGCTGCATCTGGTCTGCTCCTACTCTCTGACGCGGGCAGGAATCACCAGCTGATCACACTTCACCACATCCTCTAGCTCACTCAGGTAGCTCACGTAGTTGATCTTCCTGCCAAATTTAATACTGAAGACAGAGAGGGGTAGGCTGATCAGGACCACAGCTGCAGCTCTTACAAAACTTACAGAGTGAAGAGAATAAACATGCAAGGACAAAAACAGAAAGGTTATTAAAGGTGAGTTAAGAGTCTGGAGTGGAGCAGTAGTGTGTCTCCACCAGCAGAGGGCAGTGGACACAAACATCATCATGAGTTTAGATTCAACACTTAAAAGATGGTGGTGGTCCAGGGGGTGGGAGACTGTGTAAGGCAGAGTCACCTCTGTCAGTGAGCCCCAGGGCAGCTGTGGTTTTAACATCACCAGGGTGTCAATGTTAGTGTGAATGACTGATTGGGTTGTAATGCGCCTTAGGGGGTTCCAAAACTCTAGAAGGCATTAAGGCCATTTAAGATCAAACTTCGGCTGTACAGGGGTGCAGTGGTTAGCGCTGTTGCCTTGCAGCAAGAAGGTCCTGGGTTCAAATCCCAACCTGGGGTCTCCCTGTGCATGCGTGGGTTCTCTACGAATACTCCAGCTTCTTCCCAGTCCAAAAACACAAATGTCAAGTCTCTCGACTCAAAATTGTCCGTAGGTGTGTGCGTACATGGTCGTTTGTCCGGTGTGTCTCTGTGTGGCCCTGCGATAGACAACCTGTCCAAGGTGTATCCCGCATGTTGGCCCAGAGATTGCTGGAGATAGACACCAGCGGGTATAGACAATGGATGGATGGAAGATCTAACTTCATGTGGTTGACCTGGAGTGAACCTAGACAGCCTGCTGCCTTTATCATCTGACCTCCTGATGCACTTTGACCATGTGACTTAACTCAACAGACCTCAGAGCAGAACAGGACCAAGTGTATGAACGTGACCGGCCTCCAGTTCCAACTGTAAGAACAAACCTGGTGATTGGTTTCAAGAGGAACAGCAGAGTCTTGATGAACATGGTTGGATGGACGATATACAAGGCCTTGATGTTCTTCTTGTACCTGAAAACACAAACTGCTGATGAGAGCTCTGGTGTTGACCCAAAGGTTTCCTCAGCTCTTCTACTTAACGTACTTCCTGTCAAACTCTCTGTACGCATCTACGAACCAGCCGAGGGGAAGTTTGTTCTCACTGGTCAGCCCATGATGGAAATAAATCACAGTGTAGTCACTCTCCACGTACTGGTCCAGGGTTCCTTTGAGGTACCTGCAACACACCAGTCAGCAACATCCGGTAACACAGCAACATTCAATGGCTCCAATTCAAATGTCATAATTTAATCCATGTTTTATTTGTGTTAATTTAATAAAATTTTTATCACATCCAGCTCAGTCCAGTCCAGTTCATTTCACTTCAATCTGCTACAATTCGGTCAAATTAATTCAAACTGAATTTAATGTCAGTGTTGAACAGTTCAGGTCATTTCAATTTATTTCAACAGAATTCAGTAAAAGTTATCTCAGTTCAGTAAAGCCCACTTCAACATCACAAGTCACCTACTCTGAACAGGTCCAGTAAACTACTGATAACTCATTAACAGTAAATGCTGTTCAGAAACAAATGAGTGCAATTCATCTCGATTAAAGATAACATAATTCAATCCTGTTTAATTACAATTTTAAACTGTCCAAATGAATACATTTAATTTTAATCTCATTCATCGTAAATTGATCCAGCTCAATATAACCAAGAAAAATCAAATCAATTTAAATTCATAATAATTACTTTTCAGTTTAAACCAATTCAATATCACCCAAACGGAATGGTTAAACAGCCCTGTTAACTATTACATACTCCAATTCAAAACATTCAAATAGATTTCTGAATTCATTAAAACTGAATATTGCTATTTGATCTTGCTCAGCCCAATTTTCAGTTTAAAATAGTTCAATTTAATCCAACTATTTAGATTTATGTTGATAAAACATAATGATTTTGATCTGCTGGGGGACTTCAATGCTCACGTGGGCAATGACAGCTTGACCTGGAGGGGTGTGATTGGGAGGAACGGCCCACCTAATCTGAACTCGAGCGGTGTTTTGTTATTGGACTTCTGTGCAAGCCGCAGTTTGGCCATAACGAACACCATGTTCGAACATAAGGATGTCCACCGGTACACTTGGTACCAGGGCAGCCTAGGTCACAGGTCGATGATAGATTTTGTAGTCGTATCATCTGACCTGCGGCCGTATGTTTTGGACACCCGAGTGAAGAGAGGGGCGGAGCTGTCAACTGATCACCACCTGGTGGTGAGTTGGATCAGATGGCAAGGGAACATGCCGCGTAGACCTGGCAGACCCAAACGCATAGTGAGGGTCTGCTGGGAACGCCTGGCAGAAGAACCTGTCAAGACGGTCTTCAACTCCCACCTCCGGCAGAGCTTTGACCACGTCCCGAGAGCAGTGGGGGACATTGAGTCCGAGTGGGCCTTGTTCCACTCTGCGATTGTCGAGGCGGCTGTTGCTAGCTGTGGTCGTAAGGTGGCCGGTGCCAGTCGTGGTGGCAACCCCCGTACCCGCTGGTGGACACCAGAGGTTCGGGGAGCCGTCAGGCTGAAGAAGGAGGCCTACAGGGCGTGGCTGGTCTGTGGGTCTCCGGAGGCAGCAGACAGGTACCGGATAGCCAAGCGGGGTGCAGCAGTGGCAGTTGCCGAGGCAAAATCTCGGGCGTGGGAGGAGTTTGGTGAGGCCATGGAGAAAGACTATCGATCGGCTCCAAAGAGGTTCTGGCAAACTGTCCGGCGCCTCAGGAGAGGAAGGCAGCAACTCGCTCACACTGTTTACAGTGGGGATGGGGAGCTGCTGACGTCAACTGAGGCTATAGTCGGACGGTGGAAGGAATACTTTGAGGAGCTCCTCAATCCCACCAATGCGCATTCCGAGGAGGAACCAGAGCTGGGAGGCCTGGGGATGGACTGTCCGATCTCGGGGGCAGAAGTTGCTGAGGTAGTCAAACAACTACACAGCGGCGGAGCCCCGGGGGCGGATGAGGTTCGTCCTGGGTATCTCAAGGCTATGGATGTTGTAGGGCTGTCATGGTTGACACGTCTCTACAACATTGCGTGGTCATCGGGGGCAGTTCCTAGGGAGTGGCAGACCGGGGTGGTGGTCCCCATCTTTAAGAAGGGTGACCTGAGGGTGTGTTCCAACTATAGGGGGATCACACTCCTCAGCCTCCCTGGAAAGGTCTACGCCAAGGTACTGGAGAGGAGGGTCCGATCGATAGTTGAATCTCAGATAGAGGAGGAGCAATGTGGTTTTCGTCCTGGCCGTGGAACTGTGGACCAGCTCTATACCCTTGCAAGGGTGATGGAGGGGGCATGGGAGTTTGCCCAACCAATCCACATGTGCTTTGTGGATTTGGAGAAGGCTTATGACCGTGTCCCCAGGGGCACCCTGTGGGGGACGCTCCAGGAGTATGGGGTGGGTGGCTTTCTGTTAAGGGCCATTCAGTCCCTTTACCAGAGGAGCGTGAGTTTGGTCCGCATAGCCGGTAGTAAGTCGGACCTGTTCCCAGTGAGGGTTGGACTCCGCCAGGGCTGCCCTTTGTCACCGGTTCTGTTCATCACTTTTATGGACAGAATTTCTAGACGCAGCCGTGGTGTGGAGTGTGTCGAGTTTGGTGGCAGGAGAATCTCGTCTCTGCTTTTTGCGGATGATGTGGTCCTCCTAGCTTCATCCAGCTCTGACCTTCAGCTCTTGCTGGGTAGGTTCGCGGCCGAATGTGAAGCGGCTGGGATGAGGATCAGCACCTCCAAATCTGAGACCATGGTTCTCGACCGGAAAAGGGAGGCTTCCCACCTCCGGGTCGGGGGAGAGGTCCTACCTCAAGTGGAGGAGTTTAAGTATCTCGGGGTCTTGTTCACGAGTGAGGGTAGGAGGGATCGGGAGATCGACAGGCGGATTGGTTCGGCGTCTGCAGTGATGCGGACGCTGAGCCGATCTGTCGTGGGGAAGAGGGAGCTGAGCCAGAAAGCCAGGCTCTCGATTTACCGGTCGATCTACGTACCAATCCTCACCTATGGTCATGAGCTTTGGGTAATGACCGAAAGAACGAGATCGCGGATACAAGCGGCCGAAATGAGTTTCCTCCGTAGGGTGGCCGGGCTCAGCCTTAGAGATAGGGTGAGGAGCTCGGACATTCGGGAGGGACTCGGAGTAGAACCGCTGCTCCTCCGGATCGAAAGGAGCCAGTTGAGGTGGTTTGGGCATCTGGTCAGGATGCCTCCTGGACGCCTCCCCGGGGAGGTGTTTCGGGCATGTCCTGCCGGCAGAAGGCCCCCGGGTCGACCCAGGACACGTTGGAGAGGTTACATCTCCAATCTGGTCCGGGAACGCCTTGGGGTCCTGCCGGAGGAGCTGGTGGACAAGGCCGGGGAGAGGACGGCCTGGAGCTCCCTAATTGGGATGCTGCCCCCGCGACCCGGACCCGGATAAGCGGAGGAAGACGAAGACGAAGACGAAGATTTTGATCTGATCACATTTTATTTCAGTTCAAAACTATCTAGTTAAATAAAAAGTCTAATGAATATTTTTTGTTCATTTCAATTTAGTATTCAGTTACCACAATACATTTCCATTCAGTCAAGTTCAATCTGAGTTTAATATAAGTTACATTTTTTAAACTTGGATTAAACCTTAAGACTTATTTCAGTTAAACATAGTCCAATTCAATTGTAATTTATAAAAGCAAAACTCCTTCTAATTGAAGATACTAAATGTTTAGGAGCCAAATCAAATGAATCCCATTTCAGCCCGTTTCAACTGAATTCTGCCCAGTTCAGCCTAATTCAGTTTGTATCAATGTACAATAGTGTAAATTATTCCATTTGATTCTATATGAATAAATGTGCTTGCACATAAATAGGTCCAATTCAATGTAATTTACTCAGATTAAAACAAAAAATCAAATGGACCCAGTGCACGATAGCAAACGCTCGTTCTGGTTGATGAACTCCGGAGAGCGTGGTCCTTCCTGTCCCCTTCACAGTGACGGCAACATGGACGGTGCATGCAGTGAACTGTACTTTTCCAGATTCTTTGGGAATTTGCAGAAAATTTCAGACGATGACGTTCATCGTACTGTCGACACTTTTTCATCTGCTCCACAAAGCAAACGAGAAAAGGGATTCACATTGTACACATCCCAGTATGTGCACAACTACGAAGGTGAGTAGACAACGCGGCTGTGCTAACTAGTGCTAACTTGACTAAAAGGGGCATGGCAAACATTTATATTAAACAGTAACTACAGTTCTCTGCATTTACTCACCCAGAGAACTTTGGTGCTATTTAGAGTCCGAGAAATATCCATCTGGGATCGTTGCATATCCATGACGGGAGTAGTTGTGGCTGCAGTGCAGCCTCTAAGTAAGACATTATCTGCCACTAAAGTCCTTCATTTCACCAGTGGCTCGGTATGAATCACCAGCACTATTCACCTGTTAGTTTGGAGCGTCTCAGACACGCTTCGTTGTCATCTGGGGGTCCTTTACAGACGTTTAGTGAAATTAATCAGCGGCTATTCCAGTGACGTCACGCCTGTTCGCCATCTTCACTGCTATTCACCAGTTTTCTAGCCGCTTAATTACTTTACCATCTCGATTGAGGGGGTTGGGAGTAGGTACACACACACACACACACACGCACGCACGCGTCTAGCATTCGTTGTGAGGATCGTCATTGACTTCCATTCATTTTAGTGCCTGGATTGTGCCTAACCCCACCTCTAACCATAACCAGTCTACTCCTAACCCTAACCTTAACTAGAGCTTAATTCACACCAGACCTCTAAAAATAACCAGTAGAGCTCTGTAACATTGTCCCAAAGTGAGGGCCAGCAAAATGTCCTCACTTTACTACTAATGTCCTCAGTTTGCAGGTAAAAAAACTTGTTTTGGGCTTCACTTTGATGTATAGACCAGTACACACACACACACACACACACACACACACACACACACACACACACACACACACACACACACACACACACACACACACACACACACACACACACACACACACACACACACACACACACACACACACACACACACACACACACACACACACACACACACACACACACACACACACACACACACACACACCAAATAAACAAACTTTTACAATTAAATATCTTCATTTATTCCATCATTAACCACATAATTCCATTAGCATAATACCAGCTAGAAGTAACTAACCTGTACTTCTGGTCGGAACCGAAAATGAGCCTTTTTTCGTGCACAAGGTCATTTCAGTTGATTTAAAACAGCTAAAACAACCTTAAAACATTTATTTGTTAATCAAACAAATTTATAACATAACTGAATCCAGAAGGACTTGGATGCATGTCTGATGAAAACAGCCCAGTTGAAACTGATGGGTCCCAATTCAACAGGAGGTAAAGATCAGCCCAACCGGTGTCAGACAAATATCATGGTCTGGATAAATGAAGCAACAGGCAAGTGTGTGTGTGTGTGTGTGTGTGTGTGTGTGTGTGTGTGTGTGTGTGTGTCTGTGTGTGTGTGTGTGTGTGTGTGTGTGTCTGTGTGTGTGTGTGTGTGTGTGTGTGTGTGTGTGTGTGTGTGTGTGTGTGTGTGTGTGTGTGTGTGTGTGTGTGTGTGTGTGTGTGTGTGTGTGTGTGTGCCTTACAGCAGCAGCTTGTGGTGGTCCAGCTGGTGCTGGGGGGGCATCCTGCAGGCATTAAACACGATCACCTTCCTGCCAAAGTTATCATCACCTGGATACACAGTTTGAACAGATCACACAAACACGTTACCAAGGCAGCAGAATAGGAGGAGGGCTTAGAGCAGACCTGCCACTTCAATGATCTGATGCCTGGCGATGTCATAGAAGGGGTGGTCCCAGGGCAGGTGGGGGGAGCCAGCATCAAACCTCTGGGACACATCTGTCTCTGAAACAGACGCAGAGATCATAAACACAAATAAACCAGTTTGAAGGTAGCGTTCTCCTGAAAGACTGGATCTGTGTGTGTGGTGTGTGTGTGTGTGTCTGCTCACCTGACTTACTCAGGCCAGACTCATCAGGAGGCCACTGCTGGTCCTCTATGGTGGTCAGCTTCAGCTGGCCTAGCTGTGCAGCAGCAGGCTCCTCACCTAGATCTACCAGCAGCTCTGAAGACATCACACGCACGCTGCTGAGTGGCTCCACACACACTCTCAGACCAACGGGTCAGTGGTGGCTCTGATAGGATGTCACCTTAAAGAGACAGACACGTCGAGTCAGCTGGTTTAGTCATCAAAATGACCTCCCCCCAAATAATCAAGTCATATGTAACCAGCTTATTATGGTCTGCAGGATGAACACATGCTGCTGCCAGCATCAGGTCTGCTGTGTGTGATAGGCGACAGTTTTGAGGAAGAGTCCACAGCCACAGAAAGGAAGTCAGGGTGGAAGAGAGGAAGTAGGGTTCAGCTGAATTCACACTATATCTGCAGATTGAGCTAATTTATTGTTTAATGGTTTCTGTGGATGAAACAGAAACAGGTGACCTCTCAGACTGGTGGTTAGTGTTACCCCAACATTGAGGGAGGGAGGGGAGACAGAGACAGAGACAGAGACAGACAGAGAGAGAGACAGAGAGAGAGAGAGACAGAGAGAGAGAGAGACAGAGAGAGAGAGACAGAGAGAGAGAGACAGAGAGAGAGAGACAGAGAGAGAGAGACAGAGAGAGAGAGACAGAGAGAGACAGAGAGAGAGAGAGACAGAGAGAGAGAGACAGAGAGAGAGAGACAGAGAGAGAGAGACAGAGAGAGACAGAGAGAGACAGAGAGAGAGAGAGAGAGAGAGACAGAGAGACAGAGAGAGAGAGAGGAGAGAGAGAGAGAGAGAGAGATCTGTGATGTGGCTTTGACATCAGTAGTCACGAAGCCCTTTGAGCGCTTGGTGCTGTCCCGTCTTAAAAGCACCACAGGCCACCAGCTGGATCCCCTGCAGTTTGCCTATAGGGCAAACAGGTCAGTGGATGATGCAATTAACATGGGGCTGCACTTCACCCAGGAACATCTTGATCAACCAAGGACCTATGCAAGGATATTGTTTGTGGATTTTAGCTCTGCTTTTAACACCGTTATACCAGAAATCCTCACCACAAAGCCCTCTCAGCTCACCGTTTTCCCTGCCATGTGTCAGTGGATTTCCAGCTTCCTGACAAATAGGAGCCAGCATGTGCGGTTGAACAACGTTACGTCTGGCACAAGGTTGATCAGCACCGGTACACCACAGGGGTGCGTCCTTTCTCCACTGCTCTTTTCCTTGTACACCAATGATTGCACCTCTAAGGACACAGCTGTTAAAATCCTGAAATTTGCAGATGACACCACTGTCATTGGGCTCATCTGGGATGGTGATGAGTCTGCTTATCAACGAGAAGTTGAGAGGCTGGTGGTCTGGTGTAGTCAACACAATCTTGAGCTTAATACCCTTATGGTCGTGGATTTTAGGAAGCTTCCCACAATGCTGCCCCCCTCACAATATCCAACAGCCCAGTGATAATGGTGGCCTCATTCAAGTTCTTGGGAACTATCATTTCCAGGGATCTGAAGTGGGAAACAAACATCAACTCCATCCTCAAAAAGGCTCAGCAGAGGATGTATTTCTTACGGCAACTAAGGAAGTACGGCCTACCACATGAGCTGCTGACCATCTTCTATACTGCTGCAGTCGAATCCATACTTTGCTCATCCATCACTGTCTGGTTTGGGTCAACCATAAAAATGGACAAATGCAGACTACAGCGTGTTATTAAAACAGCAGGAAAAATCATTGGTGCCCAACTGCCCTCTGTCCAGGAACTGTACATCAGCAGGACCAGGAAAAAGGCAGTGAATATTGTCCAAGAATGCCACACATCCTGCATCTACTCTCTTCCATCTCCTCCCATCTGGCAGACGCGATAGATCGCTGTACACAAAAACTACCAGACACAAGAACAGTTTCTTTCCTTCAGCCATTTCTCTCCTGAATCTGTAGATTATTTTACCATCCTTTTATTATACTTTTTTTATTCTTATTCAGTATGCTTATGGATATGAGTGTGTGTGTGTGTGTATACATATGTATACGTGTGTGTATGTGTATGCATATATGTATATATGTGTGTGTATGTATGTGTGTGTATACATGTTCTTATGTGTTTTTATGTATTTTTATTCTCATTTATTGTAGTTGTTGTATGTTTTAGAGAGCTATCATCTACCGAAGCTAAATTCCTTGTAAATGTAATTTTACTACTAGAGAGCGAGAGCGAGAGAGAGAGAGAGCGAGAGAGAGAGAAGGCTGACTAACATACCAGCTGGATTACTCAGAGATTACACTCAGGTTCCTGGAAATGTAAAAGAAATGTTGCTGATCTTCTCCTGTGACACAGAAAAGGGTGAAACCAAAAGTCCCGATGTCTAAAGGCAAATGCAGCCATGACGCAGACGAGGCTAAGCCTCAACTCGACCTTTAGTCTGGTTAAAGAAACACCAGTAAATAAATCCATCTCTGGTGGACAGGAAATGCATCCAACTACGTCCTGCTCAGAAAACACATGCCATGTTTTTAATGTTCTACATTGATCCACTGGGAAGCATGAGGTGGGCACAAAAGGTCCATGTCCAGTCAACATCACACACAGGAGAACCCTCTCAGTCTGGTTTTAAACACTGATCTTTAATCTGGAACCCACTTTGTAGCCATTTAAACACTGGAGATTAATAATTAATGCGTAGCGTGAAAACCACAAACCTGTCCAGAATTTAGACATCCTAGATGGAGTCGGTGTTCTTGGAGAAAGACATTCAAGCAACTTTAAGAAAAAAAAAACAACAGTTCAAAGATCCAACCGCCTTCCTCGGGCTCCCCGCTCGAGTCCTCGAGTCACAGAATCAGACAGATGCATGAAATGGTACAACACCTGCTTGTAACACAACATCACTGATGGCTGCCATTCAGGTCAAAACATCCAGAAGTGACTCCAAATGTCCTCCCAATCACTTCTGCCTGGTCGCGTCATGCATGCACGCACACACACACACACCTTTTCTACTAAGAGTATTATTTGTAAATCAATTCAGAATCTCGCCCAGGGAATTGGAATCAAATCGAATTGTGAGATTCATACCTCTACTGAAGAGCATTTCAAGAAATGCTCCAGAGAAAGCATTTTGGACAGCACTTGGTTTATTAATACCTGGTTTATTTCCATTACTTCCTCTATAATTGAACTAACTGTAATTTTGATACCCATGTCAGACGAAGGTTCCTGCTTGCTATGATTCATATTAAATATTAGGGATGTGTATTGGTGAAATTCTGGCGATACGATACGCATCACGATACGTGATTATGGTATATTACAATACATTCAGTCAGGCGATATTAGCAATATTTTTAGACTGAAATTATTGTAGGAAAATTCAATAAACAGTCCAAACTGATACATAGCATGTTTAACACGAGGTGTCTGAACCATAGCAGAGGGATTTACATTTCAATGGTGGAAACAAAACCTGCCAATTAGTGGTCGGTGTTTAAATTACACAAAAAGAAAAGAAAATACACAAATGTTATCATGTAAATTCTTCCAAAAATTTGATACACAGCTTTTGAATATCGATATAATATTGCAGGAAAAAAATCACGATATATTGCCACATCAATATTTTCTTACATCCCAAATAAATATAAACACGGATATACCGTATTTCCTTGAGTATAAGTCGCTCCGGAGGATAAGTCGCACCAGCCATAAAAAGTATAATGAAGAAGAAAAAAACATATACAAGTCGCACTGGACTATAAGTCACATTTTGGGGGGAAATTTTATTATTTTTCTTACAAAATCTGAGACCAAGCATTTCACATTGCAAGACAAGTACCGGTAATAATAACAGAATAAACAACCAGGGCGCAGCAGCGTGCCAGGGTCTCCAGCAGGTGATGGCGGGGCGGGGAAGCTCATTCCTGGTCCGGAGCCGGCCCGCAGCAGCGCGGTATACATAATTTGGTATATAAGTCACTTTGGTATATATCACAGGACCAGCCAGAATATGAAAAAAAAGTGCGACTTATAGTCCGGAAATTATGGTACTCGTATACGTTATGAACAATGCTCTAACCAATGGTCATGGTATTATGATTATTCTGTTCTGTGATCATCTAACGAGGACCAAGAAATATGGAAATGTGTGTGTCTGTGTGTGTTAAAAGAGAGAAATGGAGGAAGGAAAAAGTATTTTACACATTTTCTTACACATCGTCTACTTGTTTACAACTTTGGTTTAAGATGTTTTCTTGAATGGCCATCCTCTCCTGCTGCACCTATTGTTTCCCCTACCATCCTGTTTATAGAAATATCTAAACTCCACTGTGATGCTACAGCTTTGAGCTTCCAGCAGCTCTAACAACACACTTCAGTGAGTCTGCTACAGGAACTACAGCTAATTACACCCCCAGCCCCCATCTTCCTCCTCCCACATATCTACTCGCTCTGGTTTAATAAACCTACCCTTTTCTCCCATCCCCCCACTGCTCTTTTATTTTACCCCCCCCCCCCATCACACACACACACACACACACACACACACACACACACACACACACACACACACACACACACACACACACACACACACAGCAGTTTGTGATGTTATGCTAGCTGACAGCATGTTGCTTTAAAGAAATATTGCTACTAACCCACTGATCAGACCCAGCGAGCCGATCCCTGCTTCCACTGTCAGGCTTAGACCTCCTGTTAGAGAAGGAGGACTGAGGATGATGTCAGACAGGAAGATAAATGATGCGGACACCAGCAGGTTCCTGTTTTCTGTCTTTGTATCCTCCTGAGTGCAAACTTGACTGACTGACACCTGGCTTCTACAGGTCAGGAACAGAACCAAGTGGACCGGACAAGTGTTGTTTCATCTCAGATGCTAAAACTGAATTAAAAACCTAATTTCCCGTGTGTGTGTGTACTTCCTAAAGACATTCTCCTAAATTATAAATATTGTTTAAATGATGTTCTGCTTAAACTTTGTGTTCTATGTGGTTAAAGCACACACACACACACACACACACACACACACACACACACACACACACACACACACACACACACACACACACACACACACACACACACACACACACACACACACACACACACACACACACACGTAAAAGCCTACTTTCATTATTGTTCTTCCACGATAAAA